CCATTCTGACTGGTGTGAGGTGGTATCTCATTGAGGTTTTGATTTGGATTTCCCTGATGCCAAGTGATGTTGAGCACTTTTTCATGTGTCTGTTGGACATTTGGATGTCGTCTTTGGCAAAATGTCTGTTCATGTCTTCTGCCCATTTCTTGATTGGATCATTTGTTCTTTGGGTGTTGACTTTCATAAGTTCTTTATAGATCTTGAATACTAGCCCTTTATCCAATATGTCATTTGCAAATATCTTCTCCCATTCTGTCGGTTGTCTTTTGGTTTTTTTGACTGTTTCTTTTGCTGTGCAAAAGCTTTTTATCTTGATGAAGTCCCAATAGTTCATTTTTGCCCTTGATTCTCTTGCCTTTGGTGACGTTTCTAGGAAGAAGTTGCTGTGGCTGAGGTCGTAGAGGTTGCTGCCTGTGTTCTCCTTTAGGATTTTGATGGACTCCTGTCTCACATTTAAGTCTTTCAGCCATTTTGAGTCTATTTTTGTGTGTGATGTAAGGAAATGGTCCAGTTTCATTCTTCTGTATGTGGCTGTCCAATTTTCCCAACACTGTTTGTTGAAGAAACTGTCTTTTTCCATTGGACATTCTTTCCTGCTTTGTTGAAGATTAGTTGACCATAGAGTTGAGGGTCCATTTCTGGGCTCTCTATTCTGTTCCATTGGTCTATGTGTCTGTTTTTGTGTCAGTACCATACTGTCTTGATGATTACAGCTTTGTAATAGGGCTTGAAGTCTGGAATTATAAAGGGATTGCATTAAATGTGTAGATTGCTCTAGGTAGCATTGACATTTTCACAATATTTGTTCTTCCAATCCATGAGCATGGAAAGTTTTTCCATTTCTTTGTGTCTTCCTCAATTTCTTTCATGAGTATTCTATAGTTTTCTGAGTACAGATCCTTTGCCTCTTTGATCAGATTTATTCCTAGGTATCTCATGGTTTTGGGTGCAATTATAAATGGGAACGACTCCTTAATTTCTCTCTCTTCTGTCTTGTTGTTGGTGTATAGGAATGCCACTGATTTCTGTGCATTGATTTTATATCCTGCCACCTTACTGAATTCCTGTATGAGTTCTAGCAGTTTTGGGGTGGAGTCTTTTGGGTTTTCCACATAAAGTATCATATCATCTGCAAAGAGTGAGAGTTTGACTTCTTCTTTGCCAGTTCGGATGCCTTTTATTTCTTTTTGTTGTCTGATTGCTGTGGCTAGGACTTCTAGTACTATGTTGAATAGCAGTGGTGATAGTGGACATCCCTGCCGCATTCCTGACCTTAGGGGAAAGCTCTCAGTTTTTCCCCCATTGAGAATGATATTCGCTGTGGGTTTTTCATAGATGGCTTTTATGATATTGAGGTATGTACCCTCTATCCCTATACTCTGAAGAGTTTTGATCAAGAAAGGATGCTGTACTTTGTCAAATGCTTGTTCTGCATCTATTGAGAGGATCATATGGTTCTTGTTCTTTCTTTTCTTAATGTATTGTATCACATTGATTGATTTGCAGATGTTGAACCAACCTTGCAGCCCAGGGATAAATCCCACATGGTTGTGGTGAATAATCCTTTTAATGTACTGTTGGCTAGTATTTTGGTGAGAATTTTTGCATCCATGTTCATCAAGGATATTGGTCTGTAGTTCTCCTTTTTGATGGGGTCTTTGTCTGGTTTTGGGATCAAGGTAATAGTGGCCTCATAAAACGAGTTTGGAAGTTCTCCTTCTATTTCTATTTTTTGGAACAGTTTCAGAAGAATAGGTATTAATTCTTCTTTAAATGTTTGGTAGAATTCCCCTGGGAAGCCTTAACCATTCTTAAGTATACAGTTCAGTAGTGTTAAATATATTCATGTTGTTGTGCAACCAATCTATAGAACTCTTTTCTTCTTGCAAAACTGAAACTCTGTACCCATTAAACTATTCTTATTCTCCCCTCCCTCCAGCCCTGGGAACCACCATTTTACTTTCTGTCTCTATGAATTTGACTACTCAAGGCACGTCACAGAAGTGGAATCTTAGAGCATTTGCCTTTTGGTAATTGGCCTATTTCACACAGCATAATGTCCTCAGGATTCATTCATGGTGTAACATGTGTCAGAATTTCATTCCTTTTTAAGGCTGAATAATATTCCATTGTACGAATATGCCACATTTTGTTTCTCATTCATTCATTAATTGATCCTTGGGTTGCTCCCACTGTTTGACTGTTATGAATAATGCTGCTATATCATGGGTGTACAAATACCTCTCTGAGACCCTATTTCCAATTCTTCTGGGTATACACCCAGATGTAGAATTGCTGGATTATATGGTAATTCTATTTTTAATGTTTTGAGGAACTGACACACTGTTTTCTGTAGTGACCACACCATTTAACATCCCCATAGGCCATGAGCCTCCAATTTCTCCACATCCTCGCCACCAACACTTGTTGTTTTCTGTTTTTGATGGTATCTATCCTAATGGGTGTGAAGTAGTATCTCAGCAACTTTTAAACCTTCAGACAAATTCCCATGTTTTACCTGCTAGCCACTAGAAGTAAAGTATCTATTATAAAACAAGCTAGGAATAACATGCAGACAAACTTAAGGAGTATTGACCACAGAACAAGATGTTCATATGCTTATTAATTGGTTTGCCATAAATTATCCGGATGTGAATCCGTAACTGTTCTTACAACAGATTTTCTGTTCACTGAGTCCTTGTACAGGGAAAAAGCATGGTGAAATGAAGTTTGACCTATATTCTTTTTTTTTTTTTTTAAAGATTTTATTTATTTATTCATGGAGACACAGAGAGAGGCAGAGGGAGAAGCAGACTCCCACGGAGCAGGAGACCAACGCGGGACTTGATCCCAGGATGCTGGGATCACGACCTGAGCTGAGGGCAGATATTAACCAACTGAGCCACCCAAGCGCCCTGACCTGACTTCTTATAAAGAGTATAGAGAAAGCTCCTTCCTTTCCTTGGATAATACTATTTGACTCGTCATGTTTTGCTTGTTGAAAAGGGCTTGTTTTTCTTACTCAGAGACTTAAGAGTTTTCAGACATCGCTGTTGTGTTTAGACCGATGAGGCAAAAGCATGTGAAAGATTTACAACTATATTGCTAGTTTTACATGCTGGACGTAAGATATATATAGACCCTACCTTAGGGAAGGAGTGTATTTTCTGCTACTGAATCAGACCTGGGGCTTTTTGGTCGCTGCAGTAAGAGCGCTGGTGAGTAAGTGTGGTTGCATTTTAGTGTGTCGTAATGTGATTTTTAAACTTGTTCAAACCATCAGTTCACTGTTGTCATCACATCTCTTCTGATTTTCAAGTGCAAACTTGACACCATTGTTCTTATTAACAATTAAAAAAAGTTTTGCCCCTCAAGTTTCTATTATGAGAGACGTATTCTTGAAGTTATGGTTACATTAAAATTCTTACTACAAATGAAGCCAGCTAAAAATGTTTACCAACTTGAATTGAGCTCATCATGTTTTGTTTGCTGAATAGCGTTTTGTGATTTTACCAACATAAGAATGAGTCTCCAAACTATTTTTAAAAGTGGAGCTTTTACTCTAAAGAAGTGCTTGCCTCATTTTCTTCATGCTACTCCAAACAAGATGTTGTTTATTACTTTGAAACACTATATGTAAACCCCAGGAATATGTTAAATATGATTGAAGTCTTGGCTGTCTTTAACAAATTGAAGTTTCCAGAAATTTAGCTGTGTTTAAAAACCAAAGCCATGTTTTCAGGAAAGATTTCTATTTCCAAATATGTGGTTGCCCAAACCTTTTATATTTTCATGTCAAATTCAGCTGCCAAATAACACACACTGCACCTTAGCTATAATAGAAAAACACACATAGACTTCAGATTTTAGAAAAGCACTGCAAGAACTCTGATCATATTTCTTGAACTTATGCTATTCCTATGCATAGAAGTGTGTTTTCGAGTATGCTCTGTAAGGCGATGGTCACTTACACTGGTCCAAAATTGACATGCACAGCACAAGATTGGCACCGTGTAACAGCTGATCTGGGAAAATACAGGAATTCCTAGCCAAACCAAAATATGAGGTCAAGGAAGTCGCTTTTATAATAATAGTGGTTATCTGTTTAATGTGTGATCTGGCAGTGATATGATGTTGACCATAGGCAATTATGCATATTTCTAAACTGGTTGTGTGCAAGCCCAGAGTAAGAGAAATCCCCCAGTTTGTGATAAAAGGGTATTTATTGCCCTTTTATTTCCTTCATCTGCTTTACTTAATCATTTATAAAAGACAAATTAATAGTGCGTACCAATTTCATTTTGTGTTTTATTCTGTAGTCATTCCTACACATTTGGGATATGTATTAATATGTGCTCTTAATAGTTTTGGCACAAGTTCAATGTCAATGAATGAGTGATGTACACATTTTATAGTCTTCTTAAGGTATAATAATGTGGTTTAGTGACAGTGTGTCTTGATTTCTTTGGGGGCAGGGTACTCAGATATGAGTCATATGGGATAGAGACCTATTAGTTACTTTTTCCTCAGCTAGTGCAATGAGACACAATTTTTGTTTCATTATAGTACATTTTTTTAAAAATGGTATTATCAGGATTGTGTATAGATTAATGCCTAAGAAACTGGTTGATCACGAGACTATATTTTCCTCTACCTTTTCAATGTGACTAAAAAGTTATATTCTATATTTTCATATCAATGACAATGTGATGACATAGCAAAGGAGTTATATTGGCTTGTTGCACACATCAAATGTAATCTTCTTTTCTTTGTGGAAAAATAGGGTTATTTTGAACAAGAAAAAAGAAATTTGAGTGTTTCAAGTATCAGGAAGCCTATGTTGGAGAGGACAGTGATTGGCTGTTGTTTACCTACTCCATGGGTAGAACAAGGAGAAATGGGATTGAATTTTAGTAAAACAGGTTTAAATTAACCATGCTGAAGCACTTACAGAAGACACCGCAATGGCTTGCAATTGTTGCCTTCTTTATTCCCAGGGACTCCGTCTGCTGTACTCACCAGGGCTCAGCATGGTGTCTGGCACAGAGAAGGTGCTCAACCGATATTAAATGAATAAAGAGAAAGAACGGATTAAGGAGATGCTTATAAAAGGCATAGCATTTGTTCTCAATGTAAGGTATTAATTTTAAGGTTTAATGGTGCCATTGTTTTAGGAACATCTACAAGGAAATCAGAACTGTAAATATTGAAAAATCTCTCTGGAATTTTAAATTTAAGAATATACCATATTTACCTACATAGTTAACAATTTTCCCCAGACATTTTTCCTTTAAAAAGCAGCACAAACTACACCAAAACAAATGATGTAATATATGGTGATTAACATAACAATAAAAAATTAAAAAAAAAAAGCAGCACAGTATAGGGTGCCTGGGTGGCTCAGTCATTGAGCGGCTGCATTTGGCTTGGGTCCTGATCCTGGGGTCCTGGGATCGAGCCCCGCACGAGCCTCCCTGCTCAGCAGGGAGCCTGCTGCTCCTCCTGCTTGTGCCCTCTCTCTGTCAGATAAATAAATAAAATCTTTTAAAAAAAGCAGCACAGTATAAAGGATGTGGGCCCACTGTGTTGGGAACAGTGGGCTTGGAGACTTCTGGCCCAAGCACAGTTCAGTACAGGTGGGGAGCCTGGGCTATTAGCTACAGGGTTGCCTTCAAGGAGCCTCGGAAGACTGAACAGGAAATAATAAGGGTTATATGTTGTGTCTATTTATTTCTGAAGGTTTTTCCATTGAGTAATTTTGGGGGTTGTTTTTTGTGGGTTAGAGGGAATGTGGTGAGTTATATATTATTCCTTCTAATGTCAAGCTGAACCTCAAAAGAAGATTTTATTTGAAAGTTGTAAAAACAAACAAACAAAAACTTCAAACAAGGAGCCAAGTGTAGCCACTAGACATTGAGGAGTTCTGCGTGCTCAGAGAAGGTATCCCATCCGCATGCGGACTGCTTGCCTGAAGACCAGCTGGTATCAGATTATAACCAGCGAAGACCAGGCAGGACTGCCCAGTGACCAGTCCTTGGGCTGAGTGTTTGGTGGTTCAGTCCCCAAGGACTCCTGTGCTAGGTCTCTGATGGGGATGATAATCTGGGGCTGTTGCAGGCAGGCCTATTGATTTCATTATGAACTGAAGGCACTCCAGAGTTTCCAAGTTTCACAGGCCTAGGAAAATATTTAAGGTCCGATCACACTTACATGGGCTGCAAATTAGAAGAACAAAATTCAGGTTAATAACTAAGTAAAATGCAATATTATGTCAGCTCCATTCATTGTCAAAAAGAGTAGCATACAAATGTCAAGACGTTTGAAAAGAGTTTTTAAGTTAAAACTTTTCACTCTGTAAACATTCCCTTAGGTGCTTGATGATCACTTGGAAATCATAGTTGGTTATAAATTAGGCATATTATTTGAAGCTTAATATTTCAGTAACAAAATTATAAAATCCTTTCCAAACTTTTACAGCAAAATGATTGTACTTAATGTGGGATATGGGCTCATTTTAATCTGTTTGTTATCATTAGTCTTCAGATGTAACGGTGTATAGGGTCTGCAGAGTATTCACAGGGCCTTAAATCTGGGAGACTAGGTGGGAAAAAGTAAAAGGTTAGGTGTATTTTATTATTTATTATTTTTTTATTTATTCGAGGGAAGGTGTATTTCCAAAGGTGCTAAGAGAACATTACATAGATGCCTAGCAATATTTCCTTATAAAGTATCTAATGAGCCCTTTCTTTTCTTTTTATTGAAGTGTGATTGACATGCAATATTATATTAGTTTCATGTATACAACACAATGATTCGACATTTGTATATACTGTGAACTGATCACCACAATTAGTGTAGTCACTATCTGTTACCATACAAGTTGATACAATATTACTGACTATATTCCCCATGCTGTACATTACATCCCCATAACTTATTTATTTTATAACTAGAAGTTTGTACCACTTGATCCCCATTACCCATTCCCCTCATCCACGTGCCCTCAGGCAACCACCACTCTGTAATCTGTATCTATGAGTTTGGACTTTGTTTTGTTTTGTTGGTTTGTTTTGTTGTTTAGATTCCACATTTGTCTTTCTCTGTCTGACTTATTTCACTTAATATAATGCCTTCAAGGTCTACCATGTTGTTACAAATGGCAAGATTTCATCCTTCTTTATAGTTGAGTAGTATTCCATCGTATATTTTTAGTATATCTTCTCATCCATCAGTGGACTCTTAGGTGATTTCCATATCTTGGCTATTGTAAATAATGCTACAGTGAATATAAGGGTGAATATATCTTTTTGAAATAGTGCTTTTTTTTCCTCAGATAAATATCCAGTAGTGGAATTAGTGAATCATATGGTAGCTCTATTTTTAATTTTTTGAGGAACCTCTATATTGTTTTCCATGGTGACCACACCAATTTACATTCCCACCAACAGTGCACATGGGTTCCCTTTTTTCTGCATTCTCACCAACACTTGTTATTTCTTGTCTTTTTGATGGTAGCCATTCTGATAGGTGTAAAGTGATATCTCATTGTGGTTTTTTGATTTGCATTTTCCTGGTGATTAGTGATGTAGAACATCTAATCATGTGCTTATTAGTCATCTGTATGTCTTCTTTGGAAAAATGTCTATTCAGATCTTCTGCCTATTTTTATAACTAGATTGTTTTTTGTTATTGAGTTGTATGAGTTCTTTATCTGTTTTGAATATCAACTCCTTATCAGATACATGATTGGCAAATATCTTCTCCCATTCAGTAGGTTGCCTTCCATTTTGTTGATGGGTTCCTTAGCTATGCAGAAGCTTCTTTCTTTTTCTTTCTTTCTTTCTTTCTTTCTTTCTTTCTTTCTTTCTTTCTTTCTTTCTTTCTTTCTTTCTTTCTTTCTTTCTTT